GCTTAGCCATAGTAGTTTTTATTCCTGTTTGCTCAAAATTATATACATCTCTCTATTTTTAAAATAAATTTCAATTTGTCTATGGATACTAAGGATTTTTTAAAAAAAATATGTCCTCTTTATCCGGGTTTGTGATAGTTTTCTTCATAGTTTAAATATCTTCATTCTAAAAGTTCATAGAATTGAGTTACAAGAGTCACTCGTGAAACTCTGAAAACAAACTATTTATGGTATTCATAAATTGCTTGTCTAATCCATGTGTCAATAGGCAGTTAGACCAGTGTACATTGAGGTAGTTAAAATAACCCATTATATAATTATTATTCCAGAAGATTTTACAATATCAATTTTTATAATATGTCAAGTATTTTAGAAATCTATCTAGCTTTGATTGCCATGTATTTATTTTCTTGAAACATGCACCATTATAGAGATGCAAAAGCAGCTACTAGTTTATTTCCCATAATATCTCTTTTGAATGTATGGAACAGTTTATTTCTTGCTCCTTATTCATCACTTCATTAAGATAAAATGGAACCATTATTAAAATTTATTGATTCAGGCAGTCAATGAATGAATACGGTATATTTTATAAATGCCAGGAAATTCTAAATTCTATTTACTCGAACCTAACAAAGTCACTGAAGTTAAGTGTCTGATGGTATTTTGGTGACAGCCCCCAATTCAGAAAATTTAAAGTCACTGGAAGTGTTCTAATTTATATAAGGCTGTAACTCACCACCCAGGTCTACCAGATGAAGTTTTGTATTCTTTTATACAAAATGGCAGAAGTCAGCAAAACAATATTTTCACTTGTACTTTACAGCACAAAAAATTACTTTTTTATTCCAGGAACTGTTGACAAAGTGAAGTTAAATAATTGCTGCTCTTTTGTTTTGTTTTGTTTTAACTGAAAATTGAAAGTCACTTCATCATTTTCTGGCATGTCTAGGGAACTATCATCGAGTACAGGAGACAAAACATTTCTTTTTCTTCATTTTCAACTACATTTTAAGGGTACAGTCACTATTTACTTTTGTAGTATTCTTCTATTTGGCTTTCCGCTTGGTGGTTTTTCTGCAATATCTGTTTTGTACGTACATTGTTATACATATAAAACTTAGATGTCATAACTAATCTTTTTTTTTAATCATTTTGAGCTGTTAATTTTATGGGCCATTTCTATCAAGCAAACTGGGCACTATGGAATATTTTCTGCAATCCAGTGTATTTGAAATGTAATTGAGGTATTGCTGTGTGTTTGATTTTCTATAGACTTTGATAGAGTAGAGTTATTAGTCCACCTTGTGATAATCCATCTGTTTGCTTCCATTATAAATTAAATGGATGATATTAGAGTTCAGAAATAATTCAGCTAATAAAAGGACCAGATTTTCAAATGGCCTCAGCCTGCCCTCTATGGCCCATTCCAGCAAAAACTTAAGCATATGCATAACTTTAAGTAAGTGAGTAGTCCCACTGATGTGCAGGTTCAGTTCAAATCCTGAGTGCATATTTGGGTAATTTTAATTGAATTCAAATGAGTTTCCCCCTGCTTTCTGAGCTAAAATGTAACAAAATGGCTTTTAGTTGTGGTGCCAACATTTTGATTGAAAAATCAGTTGCAGATGCAAAATTGTAAGAATATATTACAGAATTTAGTTATCTACTGATTGGCACTGACAAATCAGGCACAGTGATTAGATGTCTAAATTCTTTTATTGTGTCTACAGCATTATAAACACAGCATTATTCTCTGATTCTGCAAAGACTCGTGCAAGCAGAATTTCGCCATTTAAATACTATAAATTGTTTATTAAAAGGAAGGAGAAAACCAGTTTGAGTTAAATAAAAACTGACCTGAATACGTACTGGAAATTTGAATTGAACCAGATCAATTTTTTTTTGGCGATTCAAAGTCCAGTTAACTACTATTTCAGTATTTTTTCTTTTCTTAGTACCTATGCACTTCTCTGTGCTTCATATGGAGTTGAAATCAGAGTGACCATCTTACCATGAGACTTCAACCCAGTTTGCAGATACTTGAGAGTCTGGGTATGTCATGGACAAGGATGTATTCAAACCAAATCTTTTGACACTAACCATCACAGTAACATGGAATAATAATACAGGCACCAGTTCAGCAAAAACACTTAAGCACGTGCCTAAATCATTCCCTCTTCAACAAAGCACAGTGAATGTTAAGCCTGTGCTTAAACTTAAAATATATGCTTAAGTGTTTTGCTAAATAGGAATGGGATTTCTTAAGTGCTAGACTGGAGCCATAATACTTTGCACTTCTATAACATCTTGCATTCAAGGATCTCAGAACAATTTACAGATACTAAAGATGCAGTCCTCACAACTCTGTGTGATCCATTTTACAGAGAGGAAACTGTGGCACATGTCATATCTTCACCGCAAAAAAAGGTGTGTTCTTACACTGGGATAGGCAAATTGAGATAACTATCTTGGTATAAAATCCTCCTGGAGAAAAGGCACGGGTAGGTTTTAACCTCAGTGCAGCTTGTCAAGGCCAACACTATACCCCCCACCTGGGATTTATCTTGCCTAGCTACATTGAAGTATAAACTAGATTCTTGTCTCTACTGGGATTTTACATCAAGATAACTTCCTTGATGTAAACATGTTCCTATTTTTTTTATTTTTTATTTTTTTGCAGTGAAGACATAGCCATAAAGAGGGTAAGTATCTTATCCAAGTTCACTCATGAACTATGTGGAGGACCAGGAATAGAACACCAGTCTTCTGATTTCCCTGTCTGAACCTTAAACAAAAACAACCTCTTTTCCTTGATCTGCTGTTTTAATATATTTAAAGATATAGCAGATGTAGCTATAATTTTGTTGGCTCTGCCATATTTGATTTGACGTATGACCTAAGAATGTTACACTGTCTGTCTATGTCCCATTTTCCCTACCAATTATTATGAAGCTTTGAGATCCTTAGATTTGGAAGGGGGTCATTAGAACTGCAAATTATTATCATGCGCAGTACTCTGTATCTTTCACTCTGTAATAGGATCTAATTTACTTTCCAATAATGACTGGGAAACCCAATGTGGGTTAACGAGGTTTGCAAATTAGCAGATAAGCAAACAAATATGATTGTAAAAAATATCAAGGATCTGGCATCACAAAATGTACTTTGTTCCTTTGTTTTAGCTATTGCCCTTTATTTATTATGATAATAACAGGCAAGTATAAGCAATCTGTGTTATTGTTTGTAAGAGTGCCTGAGCCGTACTGTGCTATATTTTGTTAAAGTAATGAAGTGTCTGGCATTCAGTTATTAAAGCTGTGCTGATGAGTGGTGGAGCAATATTTTGGTGAGAATTATTGAGTTTACACAATAGCAAAGTGAGAATTGGAAGGTCTACTGTATTTACTGCACTGTTTCCTACAGCATTAACATTTTAATGAAGTTACAGTTGAGTAGAGGAATGTAGAGAAGCAATAGCATTATGTTGGTATAGAATATTTTTTTAAATAAGTTGACTGATAGCAGAGATAATTATGTATTAAATAACACAGCTAGACAACAAAGTATAAATCATGCTCAGATAAAAATGTGACCATAGCAACGTGTTTCTGTGTTCAATCTGTGCTCTTACTGTACATTGTTTCGGTTCCATGCTCTGGTCACATTCAAAAGTTTATCTTAAGTTTATAATACAAATGAGTCACTTTTTCTCTTCGAATCTCACCTGGGGATGAATCCTGAAGTTCCTACGCATGTTAATGCATACCTTACTCAGGCTAAATTCCCACTGATTTCAAGTAAGGTTTCGTGTTTTGTGAGGGCTAAGGGTGAGATTTCAGAAGTGCCATGGAACTTCTGTTCCTCAGTTACTTAGGTACTTTGGAAATTCCATGCTGAGTACAAAAACTCAGCAAGGGTATCAAGATTGGCCATTTACAGTTTAAGATTTGTAGAGCACTATAATTAAGGCCAGACAAATATTTCAAGGCATATTAAAGGCCATATAGTCAGCATGACGTTGTGAAATTAAGCATACCAGCTAGTGTACTAGTACTGTGCTAGAATGTGGTTCTTCAGGGTGTATTTAGCTCAGAGATAATAAAATCTTACTTATGTCCAAATTTCAAGGTTACTTAAAATACGTAAAATAACTTTTAAAACAATTGTAAAATAATTACAATTTATTTGTAATAACTTTAAAGGAAATAAAAAATGTGTGAGATGAGCAACAAAAACCCTTGGAATTTTACTCTACCAGCACAGAAACACCTACAATTCTCATTTGAAGAAATGTATGCACGTGTAAACCCCTGGAAGCACAAAATGTGATGTAATTCTTGTAGTGATGGGCAAACTTCAATATCTAGTGAACTACTTGGTTTCAGATAAGCCTATGGACCTATCCGCATGTCTTTTGTTTGGAAGCAGATCTCATAGAATTACTAGTTTTCACTGGGCCACAAATACTCTGGGAACAGCCTTTTTGTAATATTTCAATATCGCTATTTCAGGTCCTGGCCAAACCCAGAAATTGCAGCAGCACATAGAGTGTTAAATAAGTGACATTTTTGGAACCACCCTAAATGGCTGGCTTGAAGCATGGGAAAAGATTTGGACAGATTTTTTATCAGAATAAATTTTCCTATCTCTAATCTCTATGGGTCCAGTCCCATCCACTTTCCGTCATAGCTGAGGCAGACCCGCAACACACCAGATATCAATGTGATAGTGCTGCACAGGGCAGACAGGATTCAGAGAGCCTGTGCAATATGGATCACACCTCTAAAGGGGCTCCCTACACACTGGCATGGAGTATAATTTAGGGAGCAGGGCTAAGGAAGGCAAAGGGGAGGATGGGACAACAGGTTTCAAATCTAAGGCCACTGCCCTCCATTAACTGAGTGGTGTTCTAGGGAGAAGGAGAACTTCTGTGTAAAGGGTGTATTACGCTGCTATTAAAGCTTGAGTTCTAATTTTTCAAAGGTTTTACTCTGCAGATTATTCATATGGGCTGGGTGAATGAAAGATTCGAGGGAACTGATTCATCTCAACTCTACAAATACAAGTTCCTGGCACTAAAGGGTTCATCCTTCTACATTTTCAGCACTCCACCGGTAAGAAACCAATTTATTTTTTGTAAGGTTTTGATTACTGGTGCAATCCTTTTGGAAGCACTGGAAATGAATTCTTTCCTATTAAATAAAGCTGTAGGCTGAGATTTTCAAATGAGCCTAAGGGAGTTAGGCACCCAAAGCCTATTGAATTGCAATGTGATTTTGGCATCCCTGAGGCGCTTTTGATAATCCCAGACATAAAGTTCTGGGGAAACTGAATTGTTAATGGCACACAGAGCTTTTGCTTTCAAGGCACTGCTTCAAATTCCCCTCAGGTTGGTTGTGACCAAAATTTGCCATCTTACATTGGTTCTGAGGCCTACCTGTATGTGAAATGAGCAGGTACTTACTCTAGCTCTTCTAAGAAAGGAGTCCACATCACAATTAGCACTAACTGGTGTTGATCTTTGCCAAAAGGCCATGGGTTGAATGTTCACAGGGGATGAATTATCCCTACACCTCCTAGACATGGGACATTCCCCAAAGGTTACAGCATACTGGTGGGGTAGTGTAGGATAAACTGTAGTGCTACTGTCAGAGTTGTACTTTTTCTGTAGATAAAATGGAGGACCTCAATCTCCATAGTTGACTAATCCCGTATCTTTCAAGAGTACTAAAATTTCACTGAAAGAAACTGAATAAAAATATGCTAGAGAGTTCTAAAAATCTCAAAACAATCCATACCATATCACATCATAACCTTCCTATTCTTCTTTTTCTTCCACTTATACAATAGAGTGCTTTTGCTCTCAGGAAAAAAAATTGTAAAGAACAAAAAGGAACATTAAAAAACAACTGCAAATTAACTGCCTATTTATGCCTCCGCTGAAGTCAATAGTATAACTTCCATTACTTTCAGTTGAAATAGGAGCAAATCCAAGCACTTTAAATGTAAACCATCTTACTGGAGTACAGTAAAGTGAGAGATAGAAAAGATGATTTATGAACCTTAGACAGTAGCAATCAATAACACAGTCCCTCTTGCACTATGCTACAGTTCCAAGCCAAATGGTCCTAATACATTAGTATCATCACGGGTCAAAAATGGCCAAGTACCAATCTTTTGCTTAATTTGGAGTTAACAAAAACTAGATGTGAAGGACTCAATTTAAAATTAAATCCTCAAATGCAAGTAAACTAAAAAACACCTCAGCTCAGAGACTAATATTTAAATCAATTAACCTATTGTATCTGTCTCTAGTTAAAAGACAATAAAGCAGAAAGAAAACATTAAGCCAATAAATAATACAACACACAATGACAGTCTTTTATGAATCTTAATTATGTCTTTCAGATCTATTGTAGAAGGGGAATATTTGATATAGTTAAAACTATTCATCTCAGTGATACAAATTGAAGATAAACTAGTAAATTTATCAAAATCCAGCTCTCTGCTGATATCAGACAGTGAGAATAAATGTATTGTAGCATTTTCCCCGCATTATCTTGATATATCTAATTCACTGCCATCTTTCTGGAGATCGTCTGTTGTGCTCTTGCTCCTTGTGAAAAAGTAAACAAGATAACTAACGTGGCACCTTGTATTAATGCCATGTTCATGCCCATTGATCAGATACTGTAGTAATGACTATGATATAAATGACTAAATAGGTAAATTCTAAAGCTCAATGAACAGTTTTTGTATTTTTTATTCATGTCACAAATGCCATGTTACGTGAAATTGTGGCTCTACCACTCACCCATAAGGCTGTTCTCAGCCTATCTTTATTTCTTTAGTCTAAATATCCATTACTTTTTTATCTTTTTATTGTTGTATAAGTAATAATAATAATAATTAATAACAAAGTAATAAGCAATTGGAAATTGGCAGGATCCAACAAACCCAAACACTGGAGGGGTTCACAACTTCAACCTGGATCCAGATCCAAATTTCCCAGCTGGCCTCTACATGTATAATGGCCACAAAAACGTGTAACTCTGTGGCACTCCAACTTTGAACCTTTGGCTCAACTCTAATGACATTTTTTTTAAAAACTCTCTAATAAGTTATTAGCTATTATTCCTATTGTTTATGGTCTAAATAAAGTGAAATCCTGACTGTAACATTAAAAAATAACTCCCACAACAATTCATTGTTGTACCACAAGCAAATGTATTACTGTGATTGGTTTGCTTGAATTTTACAAGGGTAGTTATTATATTCTATTTTAATCATGTTGCCGTTATGCTGCACAGCATCATGAGAACATCAGCAGGTGAAGCACTTTATAATTAAAATTATGTTACAGTGTGTATTTTGATTTAAATATACAAATTAGATGGACTGTCACATAAAATGGCTATCTTCAATCTTGAGGATCCTGTTCACAGCTTTATTGCCCATTTATATCAAGCATGTCCACTACAGTTTTTATTCTTGTTCTAGTCCTTTGTGTAAATGGAGTGTAAATCATACTTGGATTTGAACATAGCTGACATCTTTTCATGAAAATAACCCATATACATGCCAGTCATGGGCAGAACTCAGGAGAAATACTTCATAAAGATTCAGGTCTAGTGATGTTTAGCAATTGAAAGGCGACTCGCTGTGGAGCTATGCTCTGCTAAAATAGTGTCTGCAAATGACAGATCATCACCTTAGCAAGTATATGTCAAAGGACATTTTGTTTATGAAAATCAGCATTTTTATTAAAGTTGAATTCTAGGTACCCTAGTTAAGCATCCACACTGTCTATCTTGATGGATTAAATGTATGAAAGCTAAGGTCTTATCTAAATTTCAGGAAATGTGTCCAGACTTGAGGGAAAAAATCCATGGGAAGGTAAAACTCTATTCCTTGATTAGTGTGGTACCTACACAGCAAAACCTTTAAATAACTAAAAGCTTTGATCAATCTACTTGTACTTGCTTTGTTTATTATTAGAGCTGTCAAGCGATTAAAAAATTAATTGTGATTAATCGCATGATTAAAAAAATAATCGTGTTTAATCACACTGTTAATAATAGAATACCATTTACTTAAATATTTGTGGATTTTTTCTACATTTTCAAATCTATTGATTTCAATTACAACACAGAATACAAAGAATACAGTGCTCACTTTATATTTATTTTTATTACAAATATTTGCACTGTAAAAAACAAAAGAAATAGTATTTTTCAATTCACCTAATACTGTAGTGCAATCTCTTTATAATAAAAGCTGAACTTACAAATGTAGATTTATGTACAAAAAAACCTGCATTCTAAAATAAAACAATGTACAACTTTAGAGCTTACAAGTCCAATCAGTCCTAATTCTTGTTCAGCCAATCACTCAGAAAAACAAGTTTGTTTACATTTGCAGAAGATAACGCTGCCTGCTTCTTGTTTACAGTGTCACCTGAAAGTGAGAACAGGTGTTTGCATGGCACTGTTGTAGTTAGTGTCGCAAGAATTTACATGCCAGATGTGCTAAAGATTCATATGTCCATTGATCCTTCAACTACCATTCCAGAAGACATGCGTCCATGCTGATGACGGGTTCTGCTCGATAATGATCCAAAGCAGTGCAGACCAACTCATGTTCGTTTTCATCATCTGAGTCAGATGCCACCAGCACAGGGTTGATTTTCTTTTTTGGTGGTTTGAGTTCTGTAGTTTCCGCATCAGAGTGTTGCTCTTTTAAGACTTCTGAAAGCATGCTCCACAGCTCATCCCTTTCAGAATGTGGAAGGCACTCGAGATTCTTAAATCTTGGGTTGAGTTCTGTAGCTATCTTTAGAAATTTCACATTGGTATCTTCTTTGCATTTTGTCAAATTTGCAGTGAAAGTGTTCCGAAAACGAACAACGTGTGCTAGGTCATCATCCGAGACTGCTATAACATGAAATATATGGCAGAATGTGGGTAAAACAGGAGCAGGAGACATACAATTCTCCCCCAGGGAGTTCAGTCACAAATTTAATTAACGCATTATAGCGCATCTGGCACGTAAATATCTTGCAACGCCAAGTAAAACAGTGCCATGAGAACGCCTGTTCTCACATTCAGGTGACTTTGTAATTAAGAAATGGGCAGAATTATCTCCAGTAAATATAAACAAACTTGTTTCTCTTAGCGGTTTGCTGAACAAGAAGTAGGACTGAGTGGACTTGTAGGCTCAAAAGTTTTACATTGTTTTGTTTTTGAGTGCAATTATGTAACAAAAAACTACATTTGTAAGTGGCACTTTCATGATAAAGAGATTGCACTACAGTACTTGTATAAGGTGAATTGAAAAATACTATTTCTTTTCTTTTTTACTGTGCAAATACTTGTAATCAAAAATAAATATAAAGTGAGCACTGTACAATTTGTAGTCTGTGTTGAAATATAATCATATAATTATATTCTGTGTTGAAATCAATATATTTGAAAATGTAGAAAAATATCCAAAAATATTTAATATATTTCCATTGGTATTCTATTGTTTAACAGTGCAATTAATCACAATTAATTTTTTAATCATGATTAATTTTTGAGTTAATCGCATGAGTTAACTGTGATTAATCGACAGCCCTATATATTATTCATCTGGGAGTGCTACAGTGTGGCCATGGTAATGTCAAAAATGTGTGTCATCAGATATTGTCCCTACATGGTCAACCTAACAGTTTGCCAAAAATAGATAAGTTTAGACATAAAAATCAATATCTAAAATAAGCAGACTTGCTTACAACAATATCACCAGAGAACAAGTTATATGCAATAGACTATGAACTATGGACCTTGAGGATTCTAATTCCTAGAGTATAAACAAAGGTTGAGTGATCATCATAGATTTTCCAACATGCATCTTCCATCCTTGTTCCCTAATACTGCAAGTAGTATTATTGGATTTCTCTTATGCTGGAAAAAATCTCATGAACTTGCACTTGTTTGACCCTCAGAGCCACATTTTCCAAAAGTATCTTGTATTTGTTCATGCATACTTTTCCCTTGTGTGTTTCAAGCACCATCACTTGTTGCTGCTGGGTTCTTTCTCTTGCACAGACATGTAATAGAATTTACCAGTACAA